AGGATCACAGTGTGATGAGACTCCACTGACGGTGCTCCCACATCTCTCTCTTTATTTATTTTTTTTTTAATTAGCAGAGGGTACTTGCACTCACCAGAGAAAAATCAGAAAGACAGAGAGAGACAGGGAGAGGGAGAAAGCACCACTCCATTGGGACATATTCATACTACAATCCCTTCTCTATTTCTGTCATGTCAGGATTTGGGACATCTATACATACATGCCCAGTGTGTTTTTCACTCTTTTGTTCTTTCTTTCTTTTTTTCTTTCTGAAACATTTTAAAAAATTCATTTACATTCATTCCCTAAGCATTGTCACAGCATATATGTGATTTTTCATCCAGAATATACTGCATAGTGGCTTAATCATGCATGTTATCATCAGTAATTTCCCATTTCTAGTTTCATATGTGTGTGTGTGTGTGTGTGTGTGTGTGTGTATTACCCTTATGTCTGACCCTCTGCCCTTTCCCACCTTCTTTCCACACTATCTCTGGTGTCTACAGTCGTCTTCCATTCCTTTTTCCTCCACATTTTATTGATCACACAATTTCTTAAATAATCTAACTACTTTCAATAGAAAGTTCAGCTAGTAATTTCAAGAAAAGCAGTTTTAACTTTAATAAATCAAAGAAATGCTAAGGAACTTTGCTTAAAACTTAAAGCCAGGAAACAGGTTAGAATTCTGTTTAAATAGTAGGTACATGAATCTATTGACAGCTCAAGACAGGACATAAATCCTTGAAACTAGAAAACAAAGACTAGAAGATAATCAGCAATGTTTCAGTCAAAAATCATAAAATGCTATTTCACCAGTTCAGTCTCATGTACTTAATCTATCTTCTGCTGTGGTTCCATCTTCCTGATTAAATTCTGGGATATAGTATTCAACTCCAGACGTGTCCCTATGATTAAGTTGGCCATTTTCTTAGTTTTAAACTCTTATTTCTGTGTGTCTGTATTTAATTTTCCTGGTATAGCACTCCCTTGAGAACTTCTTGGAGATCTGGTCTGGTGCTGATAAATTCTTTCAGGTTTTGTTTATCTGAGAATGTTCTTGTCTTTTCTTCCCATATGAAGGATAATCTTGCTGGGTACAGTATTCTTGGTTGAAATTGCTTTTCCCTTAACACTTTGAATACATTTTCCCAATCTTTCCTCGCTCGCATTGTTTCAGATGAGAGGTCTGCTGTTAGCCTCATGGGATATCCTTAGTAGGTAACTTGCCATTTTTCTCTTGCCAATCTTAGTATCCTGTCTTTGTCTGTGGTTTTGGTCAGTCTGGCTATAATATGTCTTGGAGAAGATCTTCTTGGGTTGATTCTATTTGGGGTCATTTGTATTTCTTAATCATCTATTCCATGAAATCTTGCAAGAAAATTTTCCAAACCTAGAGAGGCACTCAAAGACCCAGTGTGTTTTTCAAGATACAGGGACTAAGATTTGAACTGCAGTCAACCACATGGGATCTGGCTCTCTTATTCATTAGGCTATAGAGCTGACCCACTTTCTTATTCTCTTTTTAATCTCTCACTGTGTCTCTCTGTCATAGAAGTCATAAATAAACTTAAAAAAAGGAAAGTAGAAAAATCAGCTTTCTTGTGATTCCTTTTCCTGGCCTACTGATTGTCCCTGATATTTAAGCATAAAAAGAGATTCTATCCTGTATTACTTCATTAATAACTTTATCAAGTACTTTCATATCATGGGTGCTAGGGGATATCATGAATGAATCAGGCTTCCAGCCATTAGGAAACTCACATTGTACCTTGCATTTTTCCCAAATTGAAAGGCTACTGGTGGGCAAAATAAAATCACAGCCAACTGTAGCACTGGCTATCATGCACCAATTATTTCTGAAATAATAGGGTGATCATTGTCACATTGCTAGGAAAGGGCTCTACAGGCACAACCGAAAGGGAGTGAATTCCTTACCTGGATAATTGAGACCAGATTATAACAGCTTTCCACAAGAGATTTATAACCACCAGCATCTAAGAGACTACCCCTTGTCATTTCTCAATTTTAATAATAAAATAACAATATATTTATATATTGTGTTAGGCATGATCTTCATTTAATGTATAAAAGTTGCAGCTTAAAGAGCCAAGTATTAGCATAGTTTGGGAGTGACAGAGCCAGAAAAAGACTTCAGATCTTCTATCTAATTCCCAACCCAAACGCATTGAAACATACAGTTTAAGCCACAAGTCCAGAACTTGAACCTCAGTCGACTACATGAGAGTCCAGTGACATAGCCATTACGCCAACTGCTGGTCCCAAAAATCCATAAACTTTCAATGTGGTAAGAAAAAAAAAAGTGTGGTCATTTTAATTATTAAGATTTTGCTTGGAAATCAGGAAGTAGGCTAGTTTTTAGTCCAGAGATTACTTAACTGGACTAAATATGGCAACTATCAAGAAATAGAGTTGGCTCAGTGGTGGCAGTGCCTGCTGGACGCTGCTGCTTGGCAGGCCCAGCCGCCTGAGTGGCCTGTGTGTGGTTCCCAGGCCTCCCTAGAAGTCAGGCCCTGTGGTTTGTATTTGCAATCTCCAGCTACTTGGGAGGGAGGGATGGAGGAGGATTGCAGCACAAAGACATTCTGTCTGACACACCCCCCACAAAAAAGAAAAACAATATTTCTTATTGACTGAATCATGGGAGCATCCAAAAATGCTTTATTGGGCTTCTTGATGAGAACAGTTCATGTTTTACCTATGGATATGGTAAGCATTTTCTTTATCAGAAAACCCAAGAAAATAATAGAAGACACTTGTGAGGACTGGTATGGTTTATTTGTTCCAAATGAACTGATGAATAGGATTAAGAATGGAATCACATAAAGATGTGACTTATTTCAGATTTTTATTTAATTCACCATAAGTCAGTAAGACTGCATATAAACTGGCATCAATAGGCAAAATGGTTTTTATGTTCAAAGTATAACTAGATGTGTAGGTAGGTAAAATAAGAAGTAAATATAGAAGATGCCTGAATACCGACCCTGTGAGAGGCTTTGAGCTATTCAGTTGAACTATATGAAACTCTGTTCTGAGGGTGAGTCTAAACTTCCAGGGTGCTCTGAAGATAAGTAAAGGAATAGACTTGCTTTTATTTATTTATTTATTTATTTATTTATTGGAGAGGTTTTTGCTATAGGGCGCATGCGCTCACCAGACAGACAGAGAGAGACAGAGAGACATAAATTGAGAAATCACTCCCCAGGGGGGATGGTCACGCCGCAATCCCTTCTTCTCCATTCTCCTCTTGGGATCTTGGGCATGCACGCACACGCGCCCGGCTTGAGTTTTAAGCCACCAGGTCCGGAACACGAACCACGGTCAACTATGTGGGAGTCCAGTGACATAGCCATTACACTAACTGCTGGTTCCCTAGACTTGCTTTTATTTTAAGGAGGAGTTTTGAACTTGGAAAAGCCAGTGACGAATCCTAGCTTCCTCCCGTCAACTGTGTGCTTTGGGCAGACTCTTCTTTCATAATTCTACTCTTCAGTTGTTTCATCTGCAATATGGAAATGATACCTATGTTATTAAGAGAAGTAATGAGATAGTATTTGCAAAAATACTAACATAATATCTGGCACATAGTCGTCATTCAGTAAATAAAACCTTTAGCACTGTAAAAGAAAAAAGCTATTACATACTAACAAGGGAATTCTCAAATACATTCTACTGGAAATTCTCAACTATGTTCTCAAATATGTTCTACTAGAAAAGAAAGAATTGTAAATATCCTGGTAATATCTGAATGTTGAAGTAGGAGGGTCAAAGCAAAAAAAAAGTATCTTGTTTCTGAATATCACATCAGGTCTCAAAATGCAGGCAATGAATGGGTCCAGTCACAAAATGAAAATAAACGTAGCCTTCCCAGGGATTAAGTATTAAACATTCCTGACAAAGAAAACTATAAATCTATGTACTCAGGATATCGTCCAACCTAACCCTAAGTAGAGTCAATTCTGGAGAACGTGGTGTAAACCTACAGAACCTTTTTTTTTTTTTTTTTTAATTTTTAAGAGAGATTTTTGTGTTATAAGGTGCATGTGCTTGCCAGGGTCAGAGAGAGCGAAACAGAAAGATAGAAAGTAGAAAGTCATAATCCTCCCCACACCAGGCCAGACCACAATCCTTTCTCCTCCATTCTCCTCTTGGGATTTTGGGCATTCACACACATGTGTTCAGTGTGAGTTTTAAGTCACTGGACCCATGACTTGAACCATGGGTGACTATGTGAAAAGTACAATGACAGCCATTATGCCATATGCTAGCTGCTGGTTCCCCCCCACACACATTTTTTTTTTTTATAAGGGATTAAGCAACATGCTGGGAGACTTCTTCTGGCGGGAGAAGACAGTTGGGTCAATGCATTTGGTTTAGTTGCAAAGTCTCAGTTTTGAGTGAGAGTCCACGGTATGGTGTTGGTCATTTCATTCACCACTATGCCTGGTCAGTTAAGGCTGGTCTGGGAATCAAGTGTGGGCCTCCCATGTGACTTATCCTCACTCAGGGTTCCTTCCCCCTTGCACCACCATGGCCTTGGGAATGAATCTTCTATGTTTTGGCAAACTGCAGATTCTTGCAGCTGTAGGTCTGAGTGCCCATTTCTGGCTGTCAGCAGTGCTGTCAGTCTTTTCTTAGAGGACACCCACAATCCCATCACATGCCTCTTTCAAGGTTCAAAGATAACAATGGCAGATGGAGTTCTTTTCATGCTTGAAATCCCTGTGACTCCCCTTCTGCTTCAAGCTGGAGAAAGCTCTGCTTTTAAAGAATTCACTTAGTTGGACCACATTTACGTGGTTGATCTCTGAAGCTTATGGGAAATTGACTTAGGATTATAAGAATTTATGGAAAAATCTCATTAGACCAGTACCTACATTTGCACTTGACTGAAAAACCAGAAGGGGTAATCTTGGGGCCAGCCTCCTCTTTAGGATTCTGTGTACCACATTATCTAGAAACTCAGTGCCTCAGTTTCCTCTTCTGTAACCTTGGGATAAGAACAATGCCTGCTGCATAAAGTTGTCCTGGGGATGAAATGATCTAATCATCTACAACAATTTTTGTGTATGGCAAGAGGATTAAGTGTTTAGTATCGCTAGCTTTTTTCTTTCTTTCTTCTTCTTCTTTATTTATTTATTTTTTAGAGAAGTTTTTGCTATAGGGTGTGCCCACTCTCCAGAAAGAGAAAGACAGAAATACAGAAAGCAAGAAATCACCCCCTGGGGGAATGGCCATGCCACAATCCTTTCTCCTCCATTCTCCTCTTGGGATCTTACACACACACACACACACACACACACACACACACAAATACACACCCAACATGAGTTTAAGCCACGGGGTCTAGGACTCGAATCGCAGTAAACTACATGGTAGTCCAGCGACATAACTGTTATGCCATCTGCTGGTCTCTATTATCATTAGTTTTGAGGTCTACTGACCCTGATACAGGGATGGGACCTAGTTGATCCTGTGGCAGTTCCAGAAGCAGGTGGCAGTACTTCTGGATGTGGTGTCAGTGACCCAGAAGAGACAGACATGCCTGGGCAGAGGGCAGGGGTGTGGCAGTGCTAGGTAGACAGGGAAGCACCCAACAGAAGACGAAAGAGCAGAGAACAAAATAGAAGGCCAGAGATCATTAGTGACTGACTGGACTTATTCCTGAGCATACTGGCAGCATTTTCCAGGGACTTTCATAAGTACTCAAAAGGGGAGTTTTCAAGCTAATCCCAGACTGCGCATTAGAATATCCTGGAAGCTTTTCAAAACACTTAGCCTCAACTTGCCCCAGACCAGTTGAATTAAATTTTCAGTCCTGTGTGAAAATAGATTTTTAAAGTTTCATAAGTATTCTGATGTACAGAGATTTAAATTACAGGGTTAAAGAGAACTAGGAAAACATTAAACACTCCTGAAAGAGACCAAAGAACTTCCATTCTAGGGCAGAATATGCCATAATCTATCAAGAAGTAAAATATTTTTCTTTTGGACAGAAAGTGTAGTGGCTGCCAGAGGGATAGAGGCCTGGCTGTCTCTTTAGTGGGATGGCAGGAAGAGGTACAGCACCCCAGTAGGTTCCCAGAGTGGAGAGTAGTGGTGAGGACCACAGTGGGAACTCCTCCCTCTGGGTGTCCCATCCTTGATTCCTGGCCACCAGACAGCCTGCACACTGGGCCAGCAGGGCAGCCTGGCACAGGAGATGTAGGCTCAACTAATGGAAGTGGTGTTGAACCCAGTGCTACGCTGGTTATACCAAAGGTGTCTGTTGCTCCTTGTGAGTCTAGTGAAATTAGGATAACTTGTTATGGTTATGTTTTTATTTTTTTTTATATATTTTTTTCCCACCAGCACACTTTTCTTGGCTGGCATCAAAGTTGGGTCACAGCCCTTGTGTCCATACCAGTTGAGTGAAATAGAAAAGACAGCTGGCCGTGGGTTGATATGGCCTGGGAACTAGGAAGGCAGCTCAGAATTTCAACTGGGCTGTGGCTGATTGATTCACAGGGAAGCCAACTGCATAATGGAGAGTTAGCAATGTATTAAACATGTAGATTTCTAAAATGCCTCTCTTTTAGAAATGCTTTCATAATTTCTATATTTCTATCTGCTAAGACCTAGAATTTTAAAAACAAATCACCTTTTTTTTTATTAATATCGTGCTCTTTTTTCCAAAAAACGAATTTAAAGTAGATGACCATTCTATTTATAAATTCCTAACTCAATAGCTTAAAATGTTTAAATCTTGATATTTGTACTTCAACATTAAGGAGCTTATCTTTATTTATATAGTTATTTTAGTAAAAGTTTACCATTAAAGCATGACCTTGAATGATACTATTGCCGTGAAGTGTTTTTAATTTTTATATTTCAGGTTCTTTCCTGAAAAGTAGATTTTCCTGGTACATTATGCTCCTTGATTTTCCATCCCCTGGCTGGCCAATATATCGGTGGAAACAGCTGCTTGAATCCAGGACCTTGGGCACTTCCAGTTGTCTTTATAGTGAACTCAGAAACTCAAAACAATCCTTAATGCTCTTTCTCATGTTTAAGTTGGTTTTCCTGTTGTGCCAGTCTGAGAACCCTTCCTGTCTTTGGGCTCAATGCTTATTTGAATTATTAAAGATAAAAACTAGTAGACCGATCAAGTAGCAAAATAGACTAGAGGCTGCAGAGACCTGTCACCCCAGAACCCAAAGTGAGAGAAACTTGGACCAGAGGGCCAAGAGACCCATGTAATTCTGAAAAAGAAAGCAGAATCCAGCACTTCTGCTTTCTAGACCCTTACAGCAAGTAGAAAACAATTTTTGTTTCTTTTTTTAGGAAGTAGCTTTATACCTAAGGGCTTATAAAATAGTCCAAAACAAAGCAGATGGAAAGTTAATAACTAGGTCATTCTAATGGTTACATTCTCAATTCTAAATTGGCTCCCTAGTTATTAAATATGCATGTTTTCTCAACTATGTGAAAGAGTAATTGGTCAAAATGATGTTTTTACAGTATTAATTTATTCTTAATTCTTTTATGAAATTAATTTAGTTTGGTTTAACTCCTTTTTTTTTTTTTTGATCTTTAGCATCATTCATCTATTATAAAGCTTTTCCATTCTAAAGCAAATATAACAGGAGGAAGTGTTACCAGCAGCATGTTCAAGCACAGGCAGCTCTGAGATTCTTCTGTCATTGCTCCAAAGTGGAGAGGAAACAGGATGTACTACATTCTGAGCTTAGCCATCTTTCTATCAGTATCTTAAGCTTCTAAATACAACCTATCATGAGGCTAGACCATGGCTGTGGCACAGTGGTAAAAAGTGACACTTTTTAAAAATTATTTTTATTTTATTATTTTTTTAAACATCTGATCACTATACATAATTTGGCTTGTAAAAATAATTTACTCAATTAGAAATACATTTTAGACCGGTCCAGTTGAGAATACTATACACGTTATTATCAATAGGTAGTAAGCCTATTGTCTTGCCTCTCTATTTTTAATCTCTAATTTCCTTCCCTATACTTTTCCCTTTTCCCACCCTCTTTCCACACTGTCCCCAGCAGCCATAACTATTTTCACTGCTTTTATGTCCTCCAATCTTTCCATCTCTACTATACAGTGAGGATAGTCGGTATCTATTAAGTAGAGACATACAATATTTTTCTTTCATAGCCTGGCTTGCCTCACTCAGAAATAGATCTTCCATATTTGACTATTTTCTGTCAAAGACCAGGGTCTTGGTTTTTATAGCTAAATGGTTTCCATAGAGTATATGTGCCACACTTTTTCAATCCATTCATCTGTTCATGGACATTTGGGTAGGTTCCATGTCTTAGCAATCGTGAATAATGCCACAATAAACATTGGTGTACAATTGCTTTTCTGACTGAGTGTTCTCCTACTGACACTTTGTAGGGCAATCTTACTTGGGAGGGCTCCTGGTTTGGGTCTGGAGATCTCCCCAGGTAAGCTGGGTACCTGCTAACCTATGATCTGGAGTTGGCTGAAGTCTGGGGGTTGATTGCACAGTCAAGACTCTGTTGGGGCTGCTGTTTATCTCTCTCTTTCTCAGTCTTGGAATAAACAAATAAATCCAGACATACACACGCAGGTACATGAAATGTATAGCTTTATTGAAAATGAATCAGTAATCTAAATGTTTGGATATTGAACTTAGTGAAGCTATTCTAGATTTGTTTTTTTCCATCTTAAAACTGTAAAACTGCCTGAGAATATTGAAGTTCCAGCAAGAGAAGGCCATTGCTATTTTGGGCAGTCTCTGAAGAATATCATAGAGAAAGGAGGGAGGAAAATAGAGTAGACACATCTGGGATGCTATTTTCAGGCTCCAGGATTCCAGAAAGATTCTGAAAAGCTTGAAAGAGACCAGACATGTGAAAGGAAATGATTTATGAGTGAAATTGTGGCAGAAGAACAATAAGAATGACTGTGTAGGGTGTGACTGAGAACTTGAACACTGGGAAGAGCTAGGAAATCCGGCAAGAAATCCTCACCTGCATCCATCCGTCTCCATTTTATACGAACCAAGGCTATAATTTATAAGACCCAAAGCTCCTCAAACTTCAAAATGTATTTTATAAGAGTCATCTTGTGAAAGTTCTTAAAATGTAGATTTTAATCTGGGAGTCTGGCTAGGGTTTGAGGTCCTTTTTTGTTACTGAACTCTTGGGTGTGACCAAAATTGCTGATGCAGGCACACAGGTGGATATATTTAAATACAAACAAGCAAACATCCTTATTATTATTGTTATCGACACGTAAGAACTGTACATAGTTATGGTACTGTGTGATTTTTCAGTAGAGTACAACGTGTTATGATCATATCAAGGTAATTAAAGACTGAGGAGTTTAAAGGGAGCTCTTTTCCAATATTCTCAGATCTAGAAAACTTCCAGAAATGATTTTTACATGCGAGTTTGCACATCTACTTCCAATCAAGGAGCATGGAATCAGAAGAAGAAAGACTTTCTAAAATGCAGCATGAATGACAGCACATACCTGAAAAGTATATAGGTCATAAAGAAAGTGCTTTTTAAAGAAATGTCATCCTTAACCAGTTTCCAAAAGAGTCAATTCATGCACTCTAAAATGATGTCTGGACTTGAAGTAAAATGCTAAATTCTGTAAATAAGCTGTGAACACAAAACAAAACAAAAGGCAGCATTTTTTTTCATTCTAGGAAAATACCTCGAGCCTGTAGAGTCTGGCTGGTTTTCACTACAAATGCTGGTTTGCTGTCACCACTAACATAAGGTGGCATATGTGTGGCAAAGAAGTAAAGTGTTCACCAGGAGGGCTATGGAAGGCCAGAAAGCAAAGTACCTGGAGCTAACACCTTAAAACTGTATCTGATGGGGAACAGCAGATGGTGTAATGCTATGTCGCTGGACTCCCACGTAGTTGACCACGGTTCGAGTCCTGGACCCAGGGCCTTGACACTCACAACAGGCATGTGAGCATGCGTGCCCAAAATCCGAAGAGGATAATGGAGGATAAGGGATTGTGGCAAGCCATCTCCCACCCCCCCACCCCCCAGGAGGGAGGGGTAGTTATTTCTCGATTTCTGTCTCTATGTCTCTTTCTGCCTTTCTGGTGAATATATATACCTTATAACAAAAATCTTTCTTGGGAGAAAAAAAGTGCATCCAATTGTACACTATTACTAAGATTTTGAGAAGTGTTTTCTTATTTTCTTGACACAAAGTGAATTAAGCAGAGTCCTACCTTCTGAAGAAATATACTACCACAAACCAAAGTTTCTTTTTAGGAATGTAACTTGAAACAATTGTTTTAAAATTATAATTCTGGCTCATAGCAGTGGTAACACAATGCTTCATGGTCCTGAGGTTACCTGGGAGGGTCCTGGGTTTGCTTGCTGAAGTGTCTTTGCATATACTGGATGCTCACATGTGTCCATCCACTGTGGAAGAAAAAAAGAAACCTAAAAGTAGATAAGTAGATTCCTAATTCTTTGACAACTTTTGAGTTGTGTCTTTTCTTTTTTATAAGTTTTTTTTTTCCTTTAAAGTATTTGTAAAATGTCTGGATGCTATGCTCTCAAATACTCAATTTTTGGCTCAGAAAACAGCCTGATTTAAAATTCAAAGTATTTCAAATCCACAGCTCTGTGCTCATAAGTCACATTATGATGCTCTTAGAACTCAGTGAAAATGGAACAAGAAAATGGGGACAGTGCAGGAGCAGAGTGTTTGATAAACTGGTAGCAATTACAGAGGGAGCAATGTGCTCTCTCTAACGTGTATTTTTTGCTAATTGTGTTTCCAATTAGTCATAGCCTTTCATATTTCAAAGACATGTGAGAATTATTCAAAGGATAGAAGAAACTGTTTTGAATTTGGGGGTGGCACCCTTTCCAAAGTTCCCTTATCGAAAGGCATTAAAAATGTCTTATTTTGAGGCCAGCAGGCGGCATAGTGGTTAAAGCACTGGATTTCCGCTTGGCTAGTTGTGGTTCAAGTCCTCGACCCAGAAATTTGAAACTCATACTGAGTACGAGTATGTGTGTGTCCAAAATCCCAAGAGGAGAATGGAAGAGAAAGAATTGCAGCATGGTCATCCCCCAGGTGATGACTTCTCACTTTCTCTCTCTCTGTTTTTCCAGAGAGCATAAATACCCTATAGCAAAAATTTCTCAAAAAAGAAAAAGCCTTACTATTTCCTCATTCTTATTAGCTCTAGCCCTTATTAGTCTTCTGAAAGTATGTATATCTGTACTATTCAATAGGACAGTCACCAGCCACACTTGGCTACCAACTATGTGAAATGTAGCTTATTTAAACTAAAGTTTGCAGTAAGCATATATACCCAATTTCCAAGACTTAGTATTGGAAAAGATGCAAAATAACCCAATAATAATTTTTATATTGGGGCCAGGAGATGGCAGAGTGGTAGTGCACATGGACCTACATAGAAGAAAAGGTCTTGTGTTCACATCCCGGGACCTCCTGAGCATACCAGAAGAGCACACCTGCCTGTGATTCAGGTCAGCTAAGACTGCGGGTTAATCGTGGCATGAGTACCCTGTTTGATGTATACCCCTCGTGCAAGAAATAATAAGTAAACTTAAAAAATAATTTTAATATTGACTTCATGTTCAAATAATATTTTAAACATGCTGGATTTAATAATATCATTAAAATAAGGTGAAAACCTTTTGTTTTCACTTTTAGAAAATACTGTTTTTTAAATCACATAAGTGGTTTACATTTAATTTCTTTGAGACAGTGTGTTGTACAGTGAATCACTCACTGTGCTTACTAACTTACTTAACATAATGGTCTCCACCTTTCAAATGAGGCTATTGAGTACAGAGAGCAGGTAACTGGCTTGAGTCACACTTCTAGTAAGTGGGAGATATTGATTCAAACCTACAACTGTCTGAATCCAAATCCCAGTCTCTTAGCCTGGGTGTTACCAGGGTGAGCTAAGTGAGGCATTTTCAGGTGTACAATTTAAGGGGCACCAGAAAACACAGTAATTAAATTAACAGTAAGATGTGCAATACTTTTAAAATATTTTTAATTATTATTATTATTATTGCTTTTTAATTTGCTTTAGGGTGTGTGTGCTTACCAGAGAAAGAGGAAGAGAGAGAGAGGGAAAGTGAGAATGCAAGTCACCAGGTCTGAGACTTGAACTGTAGCCGGCCATGTGGGAGTCCAGCGCCTCAACCACTATGTAACTTGCTGAATCCAAAGATGTACAATATTTTAATGAAACTTATAAAATGAAATTATTGCAAAAAAATACCCCATGATTAACAACACATAACAATTCAAAATAAGGGCAGAGGGCTAACAGGTGGTGTGGAGATCAAGGTGGCTGGATCTTACGTGGGTGACTGTGTGGTACGAGTCTCAGATCCTACAGCTTGAAAACATGTTGGGCGCCTGTGTCTGCATACCTAAAATCCTGGGAGGAGAACGGGTAAGGGATTGAGGTGTGACTGCCTCCACTGAGGGATCTTTTCTTATTTTCCCTCTCTCTATCTCTGTCTCTCTCCATCAGCACATGTGCACTATAGCAAACTAAAAACTAAACCTAAAGCATAAAATGAGGGTAGGATTTGTTCCTGCACCTGTGTGGTGCAGCGTCACTTACCCACCCCCTTTCTTGGCCCTATGACCACCTCACCCTGTGAATGATCAACTATCTGATCTCTTTTCAAATATATTGTTGGTTTTAGAGAGTGGAGTCCACACCTTACCTCCCACGGCTGCTCCTGCAGGTGCCCAGTCTAATGCAGTGCTAACACAGGGCAGGTGTTGACAAATACACAAACGGTGTAAAGACTGAGAGGGAACAAACCGACATGTTCAGAGGTTTTCTCTGAGTCATTGGACCAGGGTGATTTCCTCATCACTTCAGATATTTATGAATTCTCAATTAAAAGCAAACAAACTTCTGTTGGAAAGCTTCTAACTCTATTCAATACCATGAAGCAAGCATAACTTACTAAAAAATGGTATTTGAAATGACAGTCTTCCACAGGAATTAAACACCTTTCACAGCCAGACTCTAGAAATCAAGTGAACTGTTGGGAAATCCTAACCCGTCCATTGAATTTCCATTATTCGTGATGTGACTCACAGGGTGGATGTTTTAAAACAGGCTTTCTCCAAACACCTCTTGTGTGGTAGGGAACCGTAATAAAGGCTGATGAAACCCAGTTGTTTCTGTATATGAGAGAGTCTCAATGAAGAGGCCAAACAGAGACTCCTGTGGAACTTTCAGACCATTCTTTCCCTTCTCTAATACACACCATCGTCTGTATCTTTCTAGTCCCTTTCCCAGCTAAGCTGCCTGAAAAAAATAACCAACCTTCTGACTCCAGGTTCTTTCCCTCCTTTCCCTGTTCATCTCACTCCCATCTGACACCTCCTTCTCTCTCTACCCTGAAAATGCTTTTGTCAAGATTGGCATTGGCCCCCTCATTGTCAAACCTCATGGACAGTTTACAACCTGCATCTTTCCTGACCCCTTCGGTGCTTTTCACACAATTGGTCTATGCCTCCTTTAAGTACTTTCTTCATGCTTCCATATTTCCCTCCATATTTTTGGATACCATTTATTAGTCTCTTTAATGGTGACTCCCTCGTAAAAGCCCTCCTGTTTTCCTCTCCTGTCTCAGATGCCATAACCTCCCCTATCTCATGACTGCCTAACTTCAGCATGTAGGTCTCCATTCACATTTTAGAAACATTAACTCCTAGGATAGATTTGGTACTGCTACCTCAGGGTGCATTCCCTTCCCTAAATTCAAATCATTCAGTCAACAGTGGCATCAGCTTGGAGGTCTAGTAACCATCATAGACTATTCTACTAAAATCCTCTGGTTTCTTTGTTCTCCCTCAGACCTCATCCATATCATACTTATCATTGTGTCCTCAGAATTTGGAGGAAAACCTGGCACGTATCAGTATACATCATCAAGAGCTTGAAGTAACAGAAACTCCAACTCAAAATGACCTAAGCAAAAAGGAAATGTAGTCTATCGTACAACCGCAGATCCAGCACTGAGTATGCCAATGGCTCCCTCATGCCAGTGGGAGCTAAGATTCTTCTGTCTCAGTACCTAGTTGTTCTCCAGGTCTTCTCCATCCTAAGCAGATGCCATTCACAAATGCAACATGACTGCCAGGGAAAAGCAAGGGAAACCACACATTTCTATGTTCAGGAAGAAATTCCTGTGCTTTCATATTTCTGTACCTCTAGTCAGCAGTGAATAAATGGCAACAATACCTGGACCACTCATTTTATTTGTGTGCAGTATATGGGAGGAATACAAATCTGGAGTATTTTACATAGAGGTGAAATATTCTTGGACTAGATAATATATAAAGCCCATCAGATTACACATATATGTAATATGGTGACAAAGATCATACTTATACAGTTTAAGAAAAAAAAAAAAAAGAATTTTCCCCAGGGATAAACCTCTTCCCATTCCTAAGACCTTTAAGGAGCAAGTTTTCTACCTTTGCTCCAAGAAAAATGCTTTGTTTTGTAAATCCCATTCATCTTTTCCAATCCCCAATTTCTGGGACTGACCATCCCCAAATCCCTGAGGAATCAGGTTTTTTTCTGTGTGTTTCTTCAGGTATTTCTCTCAATCTCAGGAAGACAAAATATGTGTAATATATATATATATTTATATATATATATAAAATTTAAGATATGTATATGACATACAGTAAATATAGATATATATATATATAGATATATAAGCTATAGCTTATATATCTATATATATATATAATTTAAGATATGTATATGACATATATGGAAGATATAGAGATATAGATATATCTTCAAAAGTGCCCTGCAATTTCATTTTGAAAGAATTGCCATCTAAACACTTTCAATTTCTCCTGACAAGTTTGGTTTGCCAGAACTCCAAACACCCACCTCAGAACCACTAAGGTAAGCTAGTTCCTCTTCCCTTGTGGTGCAACCCTCTGGTTGTTTCCTAGCTTTGCTCTCCCCTCCTCTTGCCTCGGTTTCAAATCTGTGTTTCCTTTCCCTTGGCTTAACTGCTATTTTTAGCCCTGTGACTGTCCTCTGGATTTGTCAGTCACATTTATCCCAGATTAAACCCTCAGAGTGTACTCAAAGCTTTGCTTGAACTCTGCCCTGGCTGGTTCTGCTCTTGACTGCCTTGGGCTGTCAGGTTTCAGGATACCGAATCTCTCCAGCTACCCTGAGTGGGATACAACCTCCTTTTCCTTGTGCCCACTCTCCTGTTTTTATATTAACCTTTCCTCTTTTAATCCCTATCTATCAGTGCTAGGCAGTAGAAACAGCAGTTTCTCACTGTTCCTCACCCATTACCAAATAACCCACACAGAGAAGTACTCGCATCTACATGATACGTGACACTCTTGGCCCTCCCAGGCTGGAGTCTGGAGCGCAGACTCAGTTGGGCTTGGTAAAACTGGTTCACTATTATAAGCCTGGCCCTGTGTAGTTCAATTTGAATTACACAAGTGTGTCTAATGGAAGATTCAGCTCATTTCATCGTATCAATATCTGAGCTGATATTCAGCTAGATCTAACTAATTCAGGCTTGCCTAAAGGGATTCTTTACATGTAAAATTGGGAAAATAGTACATGCATTAGCAAGAAAAAGAAAAAAATCCTAATGGCAGTGGTGTGTGCTGGCTGACCCTGTTGCAATCATGTGGGAAGCCCAGGTTCTACTGGCTTCCAGCCCACCCTAGAAGCTGGGCTCAGTGGTACACATCTGTAGTTCCAGCTACTCAGAAGGCTGAGGCAGGAGCATCACAGCTTAGCATGGTCTTGTCTTAAATAAGATTTAAAAAGTAACACAATTGTTTAGACAGGGTAGGCAAACTTCTACAAAGAGTCAGATAGTATTTTGAGTTTCGAGAGTCTTATAGCCTCTAGCAACTATTGAATCCTGCCTTTGTAGTGTGAAAGAAGCCATAAACATTACTGAATGAGCGTGACCAGGCTCTGGTAAAATTTTACTTCTGAAAAAAATTATTTATGAAAACATGTGACAAGCTATATTTGGCTCTTGTGTGGTGCTTGTCAACCCTCCTTTAAATGACCAATACACAGGTGACTGAAATTCTGTTTTTTGTTTGTTTTTTTTTTAAGAGATAGTTTTACTATAGAATGTGTATGCTCATCAGAGAGACAGAGAGACAGAAAGCAAGAAATCACCCACCAGGGGGGTGGCCAAGACATAATCCCTTCTCCTCCATGCTCCTATCAGGATCTTGGGCATGTATACACACAAGCCTGGTGGTTTTAAGCCACCAGGTTCGGGATTCAAATTATGGTCAACGTCATGAGTATCCAGAGGCATAGCCGTTACACCATCTGCTGGTCCTCCGAAGTTGTTTCTTAAGTGTCCTTCCAGGCACCTGACATACACACACACACACACACACATATACACAGAGAAAGAAAAGGCATGAGTCCCACTTGCTGAAAGGTCAGTTTTTCTGGTAGCGAGTAACATAGAATTCTTTCATAAGAAGACAAACCCAGAAATTTTATGGAATAGAATACAGCATTTATATGACTTTAAATGTCAAAATGTGCAACTTCAAAGGATTATGGGCTTTGTTACTACAGGCTCTTAGCAATATATTTTTGGCTGTCTTCTGCTATTAGGGAAATGTGGGTGAGAAAGTTTGAGAACCACTGACTTGGGGATGCTTCTATAATTAATTATTATATGAGAACATTAATGTGGTCTTACTTAATCACAGTACCTTCATTCCTCCCGAGATCTCTGCAAGGCTCAAGGTGGGACTTCTGGCCTCATTGTATTGTTTGAGTTGACTATGGTTTGTGATCTTCTAGGATTTCCTGTAGGTCTTTGACTTCTAGTCATTGGAACTCTTAGGTTCTCTCTGCAGCTTCTCAGAAAGTGCAATGACTTCATAGAGTCCAAAAGTTCTCTGCTGTTGCTTGCAGGAGTTGCTGCAATTATTATGTCTCCTTTGGCTCATATCACATCTGGACACTCCAGTTTCATATGAAGAGCCTCCTGCTTATTGTGGATCCCATTTTCAGCTATTATCAAGACTATTCCATCTTTTTGCATTCTCTAGTTGTCAAAGGCCTTGCTCCTCAGACTGCAGACCAGCAGCACAAGCATACCCTTAGAGCTTGTTAGAAAAGCAGAACCCAAGACCCCACCTAGACCTACTGGGCAAGACTCGGTATTTAAACCAGATCCCCAAGTGAATAATGTACACACTAAAGTTTGAGAACTGGTTCTTGAAGGCACCGTTCTCTTGCCCACAATGATCTCACCGGTCACTTGTTTTGTTTCTGGTTACGTGGGAAACACTGTTCAGATTTTAAGCTGTGGTTGTCCATTTTATGTGCCAACTTGGCTAGGCTATGGTGCCCAGTAGTCTGGTCAATACAAGTCTAGATATGCTATGAAGGTATTTTGTAGACATGATTAACATTTACAATCAGTCAACTTTGAATGAAGGAGATTGCTCTCAATAATGTAGGTAGTCCTCATCCAATTACCCGAAGCCCTAAAGAGAAAAATGTGAGATTTACTCAAGAAGTAGAAATTCTGCTTCAAGACTGCAAAGTAGAAGTCCTCCCTGAGTCTCCAAACTGCTGGCTTACCCTACGTGTTTTAGACTCAAGGCTGCAACAGCACCTCTTGTTAGTTTCTAGTTTGCTGACCTGTGTACCAATTTTAAATTTGTCAACCATCATGATCGCATGAGTCAATTCATGAACATAAATTTCTCTGAGACCAGTAGTTAGCATAATGGCTATGCCACTGGACTCCCATGTAGTCAGCCGCAGTTCGAGTCCTGGACCTGGTGGCTTAAACTCACGCCAGGCGTGTGTGCATGTGTGTCCAAGATCCTGAGTAGAGATTGGAGGAGAAGGGATTGCGGCATGGCCAACCCCCCTGGGGGGTGATTTCTGGCTTTCTGCCTCTCTGTCTCTGTCTGTTTTCCTGGCAAGTGCACACGCCCAATGGCAAAAACCTCTCCAAAAACAAATAAATAAATAAATAAATTTCTCTTTGTCTCTCATTCTCTCTCTATATATACACACACACACACACACACACATACACATATGTGACAAAATATCTATATAGAAACAAAATTTATATAGAAATATCTATATAGAAGCAAAATCAATAGTATGGTAGATACATAGTATCTATCTATCTAAATACATATATCCTATGGGTTTTATTTCACTTGAGAACCCTAGATGATACACATATCAAACACTATCCTGACATGGAAAATTACATGTTTTAGTCTAATAAGTATCATTAATCATGTAACTACTCACTATTGCATTAATTCAACCAATAAGTATTTTGGGGGTATCCATTTTATACCAGATATACTGAGACAGTCAGATTGTACAGAAAGCAAAGGACTTCCATGCTGGTAAGTGAGACAGTCTGCAAATCAAAGCCATAAGCCACCTAGTTAAGGGGCAGTGATAAATCCACTACGGATGTGCAAGATGATCTGAGACTACTTTCTGGAGGAAGTAGAGTCATGTGTCATAGTGATAAGTACGCGTTCTGAGAAATGCATTGTTAAGTGTTTCTATCATTGTGCGGATCCCATAGAGTGCACTTACATGAACAGAGACATCACAGCCCATTATATATGGGTTATATGGCACAGGCTGTTATCTTATGGATTACCGTCATATATGTGATCCGTCATTGATGGAAATGCTATGTGGTACGTGACTGTTCTGTACACAAAAAAGCTCTAATCCCTGCTAACATAATTCAACAAAGGAGAAGGTGTTTTGGCTCTTTTTTTCCTTTCTTCATTCCTTTCTTTTTATTTAAAAAAAAAAAGTTATGAGAGTGTGTGTATGCTTGGTGGGAGAAAGCGAGAGAAAGTGAGAAAGTACCCCCCTATGGGATATGGGGCAATTCCTTTTCCATTTTTCCTTCCTTTCAGGATTTTGGACACACGTGCACACATGCCTGATGCATTTTTCAAACAGCCAGGTCTAAGACTCGAATTACAGAGTCAGCCATATGGGATCCAGCTGCCCTAACTACCATGCCACAAACTGACTCAAGGGAAAGTGTTTTAAAACATTCATTAATCCTGTGGCCTGGTGCTTAAGAAAACATGATCCTATGTGAATAGCTGCAGCTGCAGGGTTTGAGCCCTGGTCCTGAGGACTTGGAAAACATGCTGAGCACATATATATGCATGCCCCCAATCCTGATAGAATGGAGAAATGAAGGAGAAAGGATGTGACCATGCCATACTGGGGAGTACTTTCCCCCTCTTGGTTTGAGCCCTGGTCCTGAGGACTTGGAAAATATGCTTTTTCCCTCTCGTTCTCTCTTTCTACTAAGCACACATGTCTTTTGGTAATTAAAAAGAAAATCATTGGGGAGCCGGCCGGTGGTGTGGTTCAAGTCCTGGATCTGGTGGCTTGCTTTCTCACTTTCCCTCTCTCTCTTTCTCTGTCGCTCTCTGATCAAACTGACACAAATAGTTAAAAAAAAAAAGTTAAATAAAATAATTCTTTTTTAAAAAAAAATAAAATAATTAATCTTTTAAAATCCAGTATGTGTCATTTTCCATGCACTTACTTCATGACTGGATTACAATAGTTTTCCAACATGGAAACAAAGAATGACAACAAAAGGAGCTCATGCTAGACATAGCAAAAGAGTATGTGCAGAGTGAAGTTTTATAATGTTCCCTTTTCAGGTGTCTTTTCTTCTCAGCAGAATAACTCAGTTAAGTTTTTTTTTTTCCCTTGCAGGTTCTAATTATCCCACAAACTGTGAAAATTATGATCATTAAAAAAAAATCTACTTCTAAAAAAATCTACTTCTACTTAATATGATCCTGTTCATTCAGAATCAGCATAAGAAATTAACTTTTCTTTTTTTCATAAATGTCAGTTAAAAAGTCACAATTTCCTCTTCTATATTAAATAATATAATACAATTTTAAAACAAAAACAAACAAATTGAACCAAATGAACTGTTGATTTGTTAGACTGTACAGTCATTTAGACCTTTGAGAACTTTGTCCTTTGAGTACAAGAAAGCTACAATTTAGCTTGCTATCATTTTTCACTGCTTATCACAAAATGCCTCAAAGCTGATCTGAATGAGCCACTCTGGTGTACAGATGAGAAACCTGAGGAAGTAGAAGGTAAAGTGATTTTATTCTATGAGTCAGCAGAGCCTAGAAGACCATGAGGAAATATGAGCTGTAGGTAATTTGGGATAAGATGGCTCTTAAGTTAGTGAGAGATCTTATGAAGTGGTAAATGTGAAATTAAAAGCTATAATTAACTCTCTAAGCTGGAGCGTCATTCTGTCCTATTCATTATAGAATTATGAAAGCATTCCCTTATAACTTTAAGAAATAAGTCAAGGAAGGCTGATTAGAAATGAGAAAACGGTGAGTTGTGTGTGTGTAATAAATCTATGCTAATAACACTACTGACTTGTGCCATGCACCATCATGATAGCTGTATTAATGCAGTAGAAGGAAGTGTTTGAGTGCACATTATGAGTAATATATGCACATATCAGGGTGTCCTCTGGAGTAAAGGACTCTGAGTCATCTAGAAAAAATATATTTTAAAAAGTACAAGACTCCTCACAATTCACTTCTATAATTGGTAGGAAGCTGATATATTACTGTGTAAGTGATGGAACTTGAAGTGTGGACCAAAAATCATGACCCCAGATAGCAGTTTAAGCAGCTATGGAAGTTTGGGAAGCTGTTGGGTATGAAACTGAGAGGTTAGAGTACACAACTATAGACTCAGCTCTGACTCGAATACGACACGCTTTGTGTTCCTGGGCAAGCCTTTTCCTGTCCTGCAATGAGAGAAGAGAGCTGGACTAGGTCATTTCCAGGGTCTCAAGTAGCTCTTACATTCGCTAATTGTACATTTGCATGATCTGCTACCATTAGAGTCCCAGGAGAGACCCATTTGCAGCCATGACCCGCAGGGTCACCTCCAGGCAAAGGTATCAGTGAAGAGCTGGCAATATTCTGTAGACTCAGCACCCTTGTTCCTGTCTTTTTTTTCTATGGCAGTGCTGTGGTCTAAATGTCTCCCCAAAATTCATGTGGTGAGAATTGGTTGTGGCAGAATTAACAGGGTGAAAATTTAATCTGAACACAATATAGAAAGGTAGAGTTTATGAATGGAGATCAGGATTCAGGTCATTACGGCAAGCTCTGGATTGACTACCTGTGGGTTTGTAAGTAGAGGGGATGAGACAGAGAAGCATAAACTCTGTAAGGACACAGGTGCATGCGCCTATCTGTGCCATGTTGTGACATGGCCAGAGGACTCTCACCAAATGTGACCCATGAACCTTGGGCCTCCAAACAATAAGCTGAATGAACCTCTGTTATTACAAATCATCCAGACTCAGGTATTTTCTTTTCTTTCTTTTTTTTTTTTTTTTTTTTGAGAGGTTTTTGCTATAGGGCTTGTGCGCTTGCCGGGAAGGCAGAGAGAGATAGAGAGACAGACAGTGAGAAATCATCCCCCAGAGGGGATGGCCATGCCGCAATCCCTTCTCCTCCATTCTCCTCTTGGGATCCTGGGCACGCATGCACATGCGCCCTGCATGAGTTTAAGCCACCAGGTCCGGGACTCGAACCATGGTCGACTACATGGGAGTTCAGCAACATAGCCATTACACTAACTGCTGGTCCCAAGACTTAGGTATTTTCTTTTATTAGCAACAGAACAGACTAGGCAGGTAGTGAGTGTCCTTTCCCAGAGATGCTATGTCTTTATTGGGAAGACTTTAGTGAGATTCTTCTCAGCTTATTGGAAAGAGCAAATTTGAAGTCTAGCAGAGTAGAGTTCAAACCTTGTTTCCCCTAATC